CAACATGAGGTTTCTTTCCCAACCGCAATTAGATTTGGGGAGGTGTTCAATACCCAGTCCTTTCAATCGCAAGATAGGTGCTGTGCATTTGGCTTATCCCTGTTTATGGGGGTTATTTTGGTGGTGATTCTCAAGGGCAACACAGATGTCACTCCAGTGATTTTGCAGTTTGGCTTGAAGGGACCTGTCAGCAGAAACATTTCAGAAGATAAATACTGTACAGTGGTCTATGTTGCAATAAAGAAATTGCATAGTTAATAGGACCGCCCTCTGTGCAGATTAAAAACAAGGTGGAACAACATAGGAATGCATTGCACATATTGCACTTTTGACATTTAAAACAACCCTTTCCTCCCCCCACCCGATCTGTCTCCACTCTTGTCTTTCCCCCTCCTTGTATGTCCCTCACTACGGTGGCGGTAGCCCTGTGAGGGACAGTCATCACCTTAACTAAGTAATTACCGGGCGATTGCTATTAATATGTCATGTCTGCTGTCGCTACCACTGTTATATAGCAATACCAATGTTTACATCACTATGTTCGTACACACACGATGTTCGTGTCAGTGTATCGTTTGATAAGTACTTTACTGGAAAAATAAAAAACTTTTTGAAACTAAAAAAAAAAAAACAACCCTTTCTGTTTTGAAAAATGCTTCCCTCTAGAATCAGCTCTATTCAGGAGTACTCAATGCTTTCTCAAGAAATTTTTTCCTCATGCTTGCCATTTTAGGCCATTCACTCTGGGGAAGTTCTTGCATGAACTTTGAATTTGAGAGGTTCCGATGCACACGGAAAAGTGCAAAATGGCCCTACTACCAGGAAAGTGACAGCAAACCTTGAACAAACTTGGTTGAAATTAATTATTTTATAAATGCAATTCAAAAATTACAAATTCATCGAATGTGGTCATTGTACATAGGCCAAGAGTACATATAAGTTTGTATAGAAGGGTGCTACTGAACTACCTATAGTTGTACCTAAGATATATTTGTACGTTGTATATCTTGTCTTCAAACTCAAAACCAATTGAAAACCTGTAGCATTAACTTGGCCATGAAACTGATGGAAGAGATCAACAGAAATTGTCTGACTGCTGCAGTGCCCTTTTCATTTGATACATTAGTGTACAATGAACGAATGTCCACATTTGCTAGAGGGTATACAATTTCAAATGCAATCTCCTTTAGTTTTAAAAGTATGTAAATTATGTTGGTAATCTGGGTAGTCCCGCACCACTATGGCACACCCTTTATCTGCAGGTTTAGGTATTATCCCTCAATCTTGTTTGATGGATGTAATGGTTTCTATTTCATTTGTGTCCCAATTGGAGTAGGAACTCCTGTGACTTACCAATTGTACATTGTCACTACAAATGGTTTTTATGTATGTCTGACAGTTCCAAAATTACTGTGTGGTATAAAAGAGTTTTGAGTTTGAATTATGATGGATTCTAATCTTTAGTATTCTTATATGTAGAGAAGTATTTCATGAGCTTTACCTGTCTCTAAAATTAAAACTAATTTTACATAAACTTTTGAACACATTTAACTTGCTAGTGGGGCAAAAGTAAAGTCCTCTGCTCAAAGGCTTTCTTTCACCCATTGTGAGTGGACAAGATGACAAAATTATTACCGGGTTTGATTGTTGTGTTTTCTGGGCTTCTGTGTGAACGTTAGAGTACTTTGTCACCTCTCCTGGGTCAAATACTACGTAACTATGTAACCTCTCCTGGGTCTTCATTTGTGGAAGCCACCTGAAGATAGGACCCCTGTCGTCCTATACATGATGGGCCTGCTAACGGTGCTGTGTTACTATCTGTGGACATTTTTAGTCAGGAGATTACTTTTGGGGGATATTGGTGGTTGTCTTCCTTGTGATCGGTTGTCACCTGTAAAATGCTAAAACCGTCGGTGTTGTTGGCAGAAACCTGTAATCCAGGCATATGCCTTCCCTTCATTATGATCCTGGCAAATGTATTCATACATTTCACAGCTATTTAATTTAATCCAAATATGCTTGTACTTCTGTCTCAATACATTACAACCCAGTAGTGACAGTAGAATCTGTGCTGGATTTTTCATTTAACATGGGTTCCAGTGCAGTGATCTCCCAAGTGAGTTGACAAAGTTGTACTTTAACCTCTTCTGTTACCAGTGACATGTCATAAAAAGAGTTTTGATTGTTTTATCCATTTTATAGAATTTAGGCTTTTGTTGCTCTTTTGTAGGCTGATTTTTTTATGCTAAATCCACAGGGGTCTTTTTGGGCCCGGTAGTATACTGCTAAAGTGCAACTTTGTAACTCAAGATCAACACATCTTTTTCTCAGACGTTTGTAATCTCTAGGTAGGTTCTTTGGGGTATCACTTTAAATTACAATGGTGGGGTTTTGCCGGGAAAAAGAATAGCTACAATTTCTTTGGTTTAAAGGAACACACTCCTATACAATCTTCCGAAAGTATCTCCATGTATAGCTTCAACACAGGTGTTTTTCTGTGACTGCATGTTAATGGTCATCAAATCCCCTTGTGGTAACATAGATTTAAGGAGTGCTGGTAATGGTTATGACCTTTAGGATAGTACATTTATCAACAGTCCATGCCGCACATACATCTTCTGGCGCAATAATGAGGGGAACTTGGGTTCTTGGCTTATAGTTCATGATACCCAACACATCCAAAACAAAGGTATTACATTTTGCTATCAATTCATAGATACAGAGGACACCGATGTTTCGAGGAAACGGAGATTCCCCTTCCCAAGGCGAAATACAGAACGATAACTATCATGTAGACACACTTATATACATGACCGAATTACCATAACACAATTCACCTTGCACCTCCCCCTGCTGCACACCAAATTTCCCTGTTTCCCTAATCCTGAATAAGGAAGATAAAATACCTGTATGAAAAGCCATGCACTCAGGATAGCGAGAGGTCTGTAGGTGTATACATGAGTTGCACTAATGAGAAAGAACGGCATCTTTCAACACCTGCAGCACCTTAGGGCACTCCCTCCAGCCAATAGTCTGCAACGCTACATAACGGCATGGTGCCCATTACTGGAGCAACAGGTAAACATTGCCAACTTGTTGTTTTAAGCATGGTTCAAAACATGTCAATCCCAAGGATTATACAACACACGGGCCACAAACAAAATTAGATCAGTTACATGAATGCAATGCAGTGAACTGGGCAGCAATAATACAAACATTACACCTAACTTTGACTGACAAAAACATAGAAGAATAAAAAAACAATACATGGTAATGACTCATAAAATACCAATAGATATAGCAATACAATTAATAACGTGTATCTTGAAGTCAGCAGGAGAGGTAAGCATTCTTCTTTGCTGGTTACAGGCTTTAGGGGCACTTGTAGTATGTTACCCAACTTGCAAAGCTGATCAGTTGCTGGACTATGTTTATTTAATTGAAATCTGGTGGTATTATTTTATGAATTTAATAAGTTATGTTTTACTAATCTGGCTATAACTGTTCTGGTAAATGAGCTTTATTAATTGTTATTCACAAGGGGGACACTGAATCTGGACTAACACATGTTTGCAGCTGTAAGACTGTCATCAGGATATCTGCCAGCACGGTTACACTATAATTAACAGTAGCTGGCCAGAATGTACTGCAAATTCCATGCTATACTAACCTACTAATTTGAGCCCTAAGAAATACATCAGGCACTCTTACTATTTTTGTTATGATAATCCACAAAATGATTAGCTATTTTTTAGGATCTATGCATAATGCATTGTATCTGCCTTCACTAAGAAAGAGGACTCTGTTCAACGAATTGACAGCTGCCAGTAACTGCAGACATTTTTAGGCATTTTACCTGCAGACAATTGCTCCTGAAAGCAGACTGTCTGTGTTCAGGGAGAATCGTCTGCAGGTAATCCCAGCATGTGCGATTAGATACGAATGGCCATAAATGGCTGTATGCACTGGCAGGTGTCATTGCTTTTACCAGAACCTCCTGTCCGCAGCTGTTCACATGAGTCTCTTGGAGCAATTTCCATTCAGAAGGGGGACATTTGAGAGGAATGTATTTTTCTCTTCTAGATCTAGCTGTGTTTGCATGTTTGCCTTGAGACCAGTAACCTGTGCAATCCACTTATGTGGGCATCACTGTGAACAGTAGCTCAAACAATAACTCGATTTACACTGTGCTCACTTCCATCCAGGCAACTGAATTGCTAAAACAGGCCTAGGTGTTATCTATTGCTTGAAGCAGCCACAGGTGAGACCTCTCAGCTGTTAACACATAAAGATTATAAATAGATTTTTACAGTTGACATGAGTTATTACGCAGTATCCTCAGTATCACCAGTTTAGTGTTCTTGGATGGGATTTCTTCTTGATAAGAACTAAACTAGGTCTATAATACCCATGAGAATCCAGCATGAAGCAAAGAAGTTCTACTCCTAAAGTAAAGATTCTTCTGTCTTAATAATATGAAATAATTAAGATAGCATGGTTACTACATAAACAATGCAGATGCTAAGTAATATAATACATTTAGTTTTCATTTTCCAATGGCCTGTGTTTTAATTATGGGATGATTTTTTTTTTTAATGCCACTTTAAACTCTATTTTTTACATACATTTTCCAAAATCATAGTGTGGAAAACTGATCATTTTCAAATGTCTTACCTTTTCTCATATGGTAAGACCATTCTGACATCTTGTATATGTGCACATATGACAGTAAGTCTCAAATTTGTGTTGTTTTAGTAACTGTTAGGTGTATACACACTCAGTTACGGATTAAAAAATAAGACATGATTTACTAGAGAGGATGGTGGTTCTATTGTTTGAATACCTACAGAGTGACAAAGTCATACATTGCAAGATAGATCTTGAAGGGACTTATATTTTGAGTTTGAGCCACATATGATAATTCCCCTACTGTTTGAATATCTTTCAATATAGCTGTAAGTAAAGCTTGCTCTCATATACTTATTTCTCATTTCCCACAGACAGTAACTTTCTGCTGGCCAATGCCCAAGTCCAACATGGCTACCCCATTGTCTACTGTTCCGACGGCTTCTGTGAACTCACAGGTTTTGGCCGCACAGAGGTCATGCAGAAGAACTGCAAGTGTCGTTTCCTGTATGGGGTGGAGACCAGTGATACTGTCCTTCAAGGCATTGAGAGTGCTCTGGAGGAGAAGCAGGAATATCAGGCTGAGGTTTGCTTTTACAAGAAAGATGGTGAGTCCATAAACATAACACTATTTATTTTCTTCCATAAGGACATCATTTTGTTTCTCTGAATTTGTCAATGCGTGCTAAATTTCAGATACCAGCTTGTTAAAAGTAACAAAGAGCTCATGCCTCTCTTTTTCAATGACAGGAGATCTATTCTGGTGCCTGCTGGACATTGTGCCCATCAAAAATGAGAAAGGGGAGGTGGTGCTGTTTCTTTTCTCATTTAAAGACGTCACGGAGCAAAGGATGAGAGCCCCTCATACTGATAAGAAGGATGGTGAGTACAGAAGCTGCTAGGCCATAAAACTCATATAATGAGGAAACTGAACGGCACCGTACAAAAATATGCTAGTTTGTTCATACCATACATATCACTGTGTCATTGTTAAGTTTTTCTTTAAAGTGTTATTAAACTGTCCAAGTTAAAAAATCATATTGCAGCACACCTCATAACCACTTATAGTAACAATTATGTGCGCGCTCCCGACCGGGACTATAGCCGATGTGGGCAGTCATGTGACCATTACATGATCTGCGGATTGTGTGCTTCCTAACAAGAAAAATAAGGATAAATTACTGTAAAAAAAAATAAGGTTTTAATATTAGTTTAACTTTCTTTATTCTTTAAATTACATGTAAAAATATATTAAAAACTGAGAAATTGGATGCACATAACATAACATAAACATAAAGTGAAATATGAAATTTCTTAAAGGATGAGTGCTCTTTAAAACAAAGTGTACATATCCTTTTTGCTCCCCTCCACTGACTTAACAGAAATCATCCTACCCCTCCACAGTTGTATCCTTCCCTAATCCGATTCTCGTGGTCTCCAGGAAGTGTTTACATGCTGCACCACAGGTCCCTCTTACTCTGCGCCACACCTGTACAGTCGAGCCCCATAGACTTCTTTGGGGCTCATCTACCTCTACCTCCTGAACAGGAGAGGAGCCACATAGGACTCTACTGTGCAGATGTAACCAGGAGAGAGAGGACTTGTGGGGCGGGATGTCTACAACCACAGTAGGCTCATTTGCAGTGTGGTAGGGCGGGATCTGTTAGGCCAGGGGAGGGAGGGCCAAAAGCATTATTTTCCAGTTTTGGATTGAGTGTGTAAGGAATAGAACTCCTATCAGATTTTCACTGCTATCTGGGACTATGATAAAACAGATTTACTCTCACTTCCTGTCCTACTGACAATGGTTTTTTATACTAAAGGAAAGCATTTTTATTTTTGTTGGTATTACCCTCACTTCCTTACTTCCTTTCTCACAAAACATTGTCAGCAGGACAAGACGTCAGGGTAAATATCTTGAATGGAGTTTTGGGTAGCAGTAAAAACCTTGAAAGGGGTTCTATCCCTTTCCCATTCTAGCTAAAATGAAGAAAACATTTTTTTGGCTGGACATAAACACTATAAGAAAGGATAGTTTACAAAGACAGTGTATTACGGTTTATCACTGCATGGATACCGAATGTACTGAACCAAGAACCAGACCCAGATTTACCAACAGGAATAGTCAAGAAAGGGCTATGAACCCTCGCCAGGAACTCCTGTGACTTACCAATTGTACATTGTCACTACAAATGGTTTTTATGTATGTCTGACAGTTCCAAAATTACTGTGTGGTATAAAAGAGTTTTGAGTTTGAATTATGATGGATTCTAATCTTTAGTATTCTTATATGTAGAGAAGTATTTCATGAGCTTTACCTGTCTCTAAAATTAAAACTAATTTTACATAAACTTTTGAACACATTTAACTTGCTAGTGGGGCAAAAGTAAAGTCCTCTGCTCAAAGGCTTTCTTTCACCCATTGTGAGTGGACAAGATGACAAAATTATTACCGGGTTTGATTGTTGTGTTTTCTGGGCTTCTGTGTGAACGTTAGAGTACTTTGTCACCTCTCCTGGGTCAAATACTACGTAACTATGTAACCTCTCCTGGGTCTTCATTTGTGGAAGCCACCTGAAGATAGGACCCCTGTCGTCCTATACATGATGGGCCTGCTAACGGTGCTGTGTTACTATCTGTGGACATTTTTAGTCAGGAGATTACTTTTGGGGGATATTGGTGGTTGTCTTCCTTGTGATCGGTTGTCACCTGTAAAATGCTAAAACCGTCGGTGTTGTTGGCAGAAACCTGTAATCCAGGCATATGCCTTCCCTTCATTATGATCCTGGCAAATGTATTCATACATTTCACAGCTATTTAATTTAATCCAAATATGCTTGTACTTCTGTCTCAATACATTACAACCCAGTAGTGACAGTAGAATCTGTGCTGGATTTTTCATTTAACATGGGTTCCAGTGCAGTGATCTCCCAAGTGAGTTGACAAAGTTGTACTTTAACCTCTTCTGTTACCAGTGACATGTCATAAAAAGAGTTTTGATTGTTTTATCCATTTTATAGAATTTAGGCTTTTGTTGCTCTTTTGTAGGCTGATTTTTTTATGCTAAATCCACAGGGGTCTTTTTGGGCCCGGTAGTATACTGCTAAAGTGCAACTTTGTAACTCAAGATCAACACATCTTTTTCTCAGACGTTTGTAATCTCTAGGTAGGTTCTTTGGGGTATCACTTTAAATTACAATGGTGGGGTTTTGCCGGGAAAAAGAATAGCTACAATTTCTTTGGTTTAAAGGAACACACTCCTATACAATCTTCCGAAAGTATCTCCATGTATAGCTTCAACACAGGTGTTTTTCTGTGACTGCATGTTAATGGTCATCAAATCCCCTTGTGGTAACATAGATTTAAGGAGTGCTGGTAATGGTTATGACCTTTAGGATAGTACATTTATCAACAGTCCATGCCGCACATACATCTTCTGGCGCAATAATGAGGGGAACTTGGGTTCTTGGCTTATAGTTCATGATACCCAACACATCCAAAACAAAGGTATTACATTTTGCTATCAATTCATAGATACAGAGGACACCGATGTTTCGAGGAAACGGAGATTCCCCTTCCCAAGGCGAAATACAGAACGATAACTATCATGTAGACACACTTATATACATGACCGAATTACCATAACACAATTCACCTTGCACCTCCCCCTGCTGCACACCAAATTTCCCTGTTTCCCTAATCCTGAATAAGGAAGATAAAATACCTGTATGAAAAGCCATGCACTCAGGATAGCGAGAGGTCTGTAGGTGTATACATGAGTTGCACTAATGAGAAAGAACGGCATCTTTCAACACCTGCAGCACCTTAGGGCACTCCCTCCAGCCAATAGTCTGCAACGCTACATAACGGCATGGTGCCCATTACTGGAGCAACAGGTAAACATTGCCAACTTGTTGTTTTAAGCATGGTTCAAAACATGTCAATCCCAAGGATTATACAACACACGGGCCACAAACAAAATTAGATCAGTTACATGAATGCAATGCAGTGAACTGGGCAGCAATAATACAAACATTACACCTAACTTTGACTGACAAAAACATAGAAGAATAAAAAAACAATACATGGTAATGACTCATAAAATACCAATAGATATAGCAATACAATTAATAACGTGTATCTTGAAGTCAGCAGGAGAGGTAAGCATTCTTCTTTGCTGGTTACAGGCTTTAGGGGCACTTGTAGTATGTTACCCAACTTGCAAAGCTGATCAGTTGCTGGACTATGTTTATTTAATTGAAATCTGGTGGTATTATTTTATGAATTTAATAAGTTATGTTTTACTAATCTGGCTATAACTGTTCTGGTAAATGAGCTTTATTAATTGTTATTCACAAGGGGGACACTGAATCTGGACTAACACATGTTTGCAGCTGTAAGACTGTCATCAGGATATCTGCCAGCACGGTTACACTATAATTAACAGTAGCTGGCCAGAATGTACTGCAAATTCCATGCTATACTAACCTACTAATTTGAGCCCTAAGAAATACATCAGGCACTCTTACTATTTTTGTTATGATAATCCACAAAATGATTAGCTATTTTTTAGGATCTATGCATAATGCATTGTATCTGCCTTCACTAAGAAAGAGGACTCTGTTCAACGAATTGACAGCTGCCAGTAACTGCAGACATTTTTAGGCATTTTACCTGCAGACAATTGCTCCTGAAAGCAGACTGTCTGTGTTCAGGGAGAATCGTCTGCAGGTAATCCCAGCATGTGCGATTAGATACGAATGGCCATAAATGGCTGTATGCACTGGCAGGTGTCATTGCTTTTACCAGAACCTCCTGTCCGCAGCTGTTCACATGAGTCTCTTGGAGCAATTTCCATTCAGAAGGGGGACATTTGAGAGGAATGTATTTTTCTCTTCTAGATCTAGCTGTGTTTGCATGTTTGCCTTGAGACCAGTAACCTGTGCAATCCACTTATGTGGGCATCACTGTGAACAGTAGCTCAAACAATAACTCGATTTACACTGTGCTCACTTCCATCCAGGCAACTGAATTGCTAAAACAGGCCTAGGTGTTATCTATTGCTTGAAGCAGCCACAGGTGAGACCTCTCAGCTGTTAACACATAAAGATTATAAATAGATTTTTACAGTTGACATGAGTTATTACGCAGTATCCTCAGTATCACCAGTTTAGTGTTCTTGGATGGGATTTCTTCTTGATAAGAACTAAACTAGGTCTATAATACCCATGAGAATCCAGCATGAAGCAAAGAAGTTCTACTCCTAAAGTAAAGATTCTTCTGTCTTAATAATATGAAATAATTAAGATAGCATGGTTACTACATAAACAATGCAGATGCTAAGTAATATAATACATTTAGTTTTCATTTTCCAATGGCCTGTGTTTTAATTATGGGATGATTTTTTTTTTTAATGCCACTTTAAACTCTATTTTTTACATACATTTTCCAAAATCATAGTGTGGAAAACTGATCATTTTCAAATGTCTTACCTTTTCTCATATGGTAAGACCATTCTGACATCTTGTATATGTGCACATATGACAGTAAGTCTCAAATTTGTGTTGTTTTAGTAACTGTTAGGTGTATACACACTCAGTTACGGATTAAAAAATAAGACATGATTTACTAGAGAGGATGGTGGTTCTATTGTTTGAATACCTACAGAGTGACAAAGTCATACATTGCAAGATAGATCTTGAAGGGACTTATATTTTGAGTTTGAGCCACATATGATAATTCCCCTACTGTTTGAATATCTTTCAATATAGCTGTAAGTAAAGCTTGCTCTCATATACTTATTTCTCATTTCCCACAGACAGTAACTTTCTGCTGGCCAATGCCCAAGTCCAACATGGCTACCCCATTGTCTACTGTTCCGAC